AATTATGTGTAATCAATTATCCATAATTTATTTCAACCATAACTCTAATGGTGGCATTCTGGTTGGTATCAATTGTTCACTAATGAAAACTCTGGTTAATGCATTTGGGCATAAAGTGCCCACATTTCTAATTACATCCTTTTTTGTTACTGTTGTTGAGATGGAGTCTCACTCTGTCATCTAGGCTGGAGTGCAGTGGTGCAATCTCAGCTCACTGCAAGCTCCGCCTCCCAGGTCCAAGCGATTTTCCTGCCTCAGCCTCCCAAGTAGGCATGACTACAGGCATGTGCCACCATGCCTAGCTAACTTTTGTATTTTCAGTAGAGACGGGGTTTCACCATGTCGGCCAGGCTAGTCTCGAACTCCTGACCTCAGATGATCCGCCCATCGTGGCCTCCCAAAGTGCTGGGATTACAGGTGTGAGCCACAGCACCCGGCCTAATTATTTCTTTAAGGCTGAGTTATAAGAAATAACTAGTTTAAATATCAGTATTTTTAAGATTCTTGATATACACATTATTAAACTGTTTGCCAAAATAGCTGTGCTAATGTACACTAGTAAAAACAGAAGTGTCAACTTACTGCATTCCTTCCAACATTGAACATTTTCATTTTTAAAATTATATTCATGAAAATCAATCAGTTCTAGGAGCCGGGAAATCTGAGATCAAGAGGTGGGTGAGGTTAAAAAAAAAAAAAGAAAGAAAAAATCAAACTACTCATTTTCATTTGTATTTCCTGGATTATAGTGAAGCTAAATTTTAAAAGTGTTATAGCTATTTGATAACCTTCCTTCATAAAATAAGCAACTTATTTTATTGCCCATTTATTCATTTGGGCCTGAGTGTTATAGTTTACTTGAATGTGACCATAATTCATAAAAATTATCTTATGTTTGTACCTTTTATTTTTCCTAAAAGTTTTTCTATCACTCTTGTCCTATTAGTCTCTTCCTTTAACATTTCTCCCATTTCCTAGTAAGACCTTCATCCAGAATATAAATGGATCTTCAATTACCAGCCAGGTGTGGTGGCTCACGGCTGTAATTCCAGCACTTAGGGAGGCTGGGGTGGGAAGATGACTTGAACCCCAGGGTTTGAGACCAGCCTGGCCAACAAAGCAAATCCCAGTCTTTACAAAAAATTTAAAAATTAGCCACGTGTGGTGGAACACATCTGTAGTCTTAGCTACTCAGGAGGCTGAGGCAAAGTATCGCTGGAGCATAGGAATGAGGCTACCTGTGAGCTATGATCATGCCACTGCACTCCAGCCTGGGTAACAAAGTGGAATCCTCTAGAAATAAAATTCAATTATAATTTCTTGTTACTAAAAAATTTACTTTAGTTTATTTAAAAACAAAATAATGCAGACACACCATAAAATCCCAGCAGTGCAAACAAGTGTATACCCCAGCCCTCAAGACCTATTATCCTCTTGTGTATGAAGATTTAGCTACCCATCTCCCTTTTTAAAACAGAAAAAAGTGGTAGCAAGCTAGACACATGCTTTACTACACCTGACTTTTCTCACTTTAGAAATCTAATCTTATCTCTACACATAAATCAATCTCCTTCTCCATTTTAAAATCAGTAAAATACCCTTTTTTTTTTTTTTTTTTGGAGACAGGGTCTCACTCTGCACACAAACTGGAGTACAGTGGCACAATCACAGCTCACTGCAGCCTTGACCTCCCTAGGCTCAGGCGATCCTCCAACCTCAGCTTCTCCAGTAGCTAAGACTCCAGGCACACACCACCACACCCAGCTAATTTTTGCATTTTTTGTAGTGACACGGTCTCGATATGTTGCCTACGCTGGCCTCGAACTCCCAGGCTCAAGTCATCTGCCTACCTTGTCCTTTCAAAGTGCTGGAATTATAGGCATGAGCCACCACAGCAGCCAGCAGCAAAACACTTGACTGTATGAATGTAACATCTTTTAATTAGTCTCCTGCTGATGGATACTGAGGTGGTTTCCAAACTAGTTACTACAAACAATTCTGTAAGTAACATCCTTGTACACAGGTCTTTGTGTACAAACACAAATATATTTGTAGGATGGAGTGCTAGAAGTGAAACTGCTGAGTCAAGACATGCATATTAGATTATGATAGATATCACCACATTGCTTTTTTAAAGTTGTAAGAGTTTACACTCCCACCAAAAAAGTATGAGTCTTGCTTAGAGTAGGATGTCAAGTACTGACTGATCAATGTGGAAAATGTACTGGAATCAAAAAATACAAATTTTGCAACCATCACAGTAAACATTAGTCCAGGCAAGCACCGTCGATGGATGTTCAATCTAAGGGGAGAGATTTCAGTCAGCAGGATATTTTTATGGTCTTAAAGTGTATCCCAAGATTGCTTACATACAAAGGGTAAAAACAGTAACCACATGGAAATAAGACAAAAGCTTTATGAACTGACCAAAATAATATCACTATTGAAGGGCAGACAGACTGTATACCTCCAGATGTGACACCCTGAAAAACACACATCACTTATGTTATATTCCACCCAAGACTGCACAATCTAAATTTAATCATTAGGAAAGAACAGATAAACCCAAGTGAGGCATAGCCTATTAAGAAATGAAAAGCAGGACAAGGTTGTGTTCACAAAAATATCAATGTCACCGGAAACAAAGAAAAGCTGAGGATCTCATGTAGCTTAAATACTACTACAGAAATACGCAATTAAATGCAGGTTATAATTCTAGACTGGATTGGGGAAAAAACACTAAGAAGGATTGGGTCAATTAACAAAAATGGAATCTGAATAGTACATTGTTATTACAGATTTGTTGAAGTTGATAATTGTGCTGTGGTTCTGCAGGACAGTGCCCTTTTACTTTGGAGAAACACACTAAAGTGTCACGGGGAAGAAGGCTGTAATGGGCACAACTTACTAACATGTCAGGAAAAGACATACAAACATACATGAGAGAGAGAGTGGGCAGGAGCACATGCATAAGTGAAAAAAGCAAATGGGACAGTATGTTAACAGTAGCTGAATCTGCATATGAATTATATGTTCTTTGTGCTGGTTCCCACAATTGCTGTTAATCTGAAATTATTCCCCAATAAAAAGTTCTAAAAAAAGACTAAGAAGTGGGAAATAATGACCACTCATATTCGTTGACACACACACATACATACACACAGAGTATATGAGTGCCTGTTTTCCCATCTTCATCAATCTTACTATAAACAATTTCTAATCTTTGCCAACAATGGGTAAAAACATGGTATTTCAGTTTTAATTTGCATTAAAGTGAGATTAAGCATCTTACGTTTAAAGGCCATTTTATTTTCTGTAAACTATCTTCTTTTAATTTTTTATACTGAACACATTTCAGCTTTCTGAAATTTTGATATGAAATGATAAAGTAACTTTCAAGGGTGCCAAGCAATTGTTCATGCACTGTTATTCAAGGAATCCTCTCTGCCCACTGATTCTGATGTCCTTTTAGTTGTACTTTGAAAATACTAGTATTTAAAATAATCTGCATTTCTCTAACTCAAACTAATCTTTTTAAAATTCTATCCAAATGAATAAAATTTTCCATAATGATACTCATATCAATACAACATGCAAATAACCAATGACTATATAAAAAGTGGACACTATTTCAAACAACTCACAAAGCCATACGGCCAGGAACGGTGGTTCACGCCTGTAATTTCAGAACTTTGGGAGGCTGAGGCAGGTGGATCACCTGAGCTCAGGAGCTTGAGATCAGCCTGGCCAACAGAGTGAAACCAGGTCTCTACTAAAATACAAAATTAGCCAGGCGTGGTGGTGCACACCTGTGATCCCAGCTACTCGGGAGGCTGAGGCACAAGAATAGCTTGAACTCAGGAGATGGAGGTTGCAGTGAGCTGAGATTGCCCCATTGTACTCCAGCCTGGGCAAAAGGACTGAAACCCCATCCCCCCTCCCCCAAAAAAAAAAAACAAAAAGACACACCTTCAAATACTGACAAACATATTGAGTATACATTTAATTATTCTCACATACATAGTATAAACTGAGAAAAGTTTTACATACTATACACTGAACCACTGTTGGATCCTAAGAAATTTATTCTGGACCAGTAACAGCACTAAAAAGAAACATCGGTTTCAACAGAAGAATTTAACAAAAATAGTTAGTTATCAATAATTTCAAATGCTATCACGTTTTCCCTTATACAATTCTTTTTTTTGTAGTCCTAGGTTGAGATGCAATTCCCTGAAAATTATCAGCATCTGAAAGCTTATTTTTTACACTAAAGGGGAAAAAAATCTTTCTATCTCTAAAACTTAGACAAACCAAAGGAAAATGTCTATACCCTAAAATATTCATGTCTTTGTTCTCCTTAGCTCCCTTTTTGTATTATAATTTCTAACAGACTGGAGGACAAGGGCTGTCTCTTTCATTTTTCTCTGGGAATCCCCACAACCTCCAAAAACAGTAGTCTGCACATACGGATACTCAATGAACGGTACTGACAGAAAGAACATATGCTAAGATGAAAGCCCTTTCTTGGAGAGAACTGAATTACTTTACCCAATATATCTGTAAATGGCAACAGCATTACTTTTAAAAACTGTTTTTAAATATACATGTAGACGAAAGTATGTATCACAAAATCATTTAAATACATCACAGTGAATAAGGTAGTCAATGAACTTCAGAAATTCCTTTTTTTTTTTTTTGGAGACAGTCTCGTTCTGTTGCCCAGGCTGGAGTGCACTAGCACAATCTCAGCTCACTGCAACCTCTGCCTCCTGGGTTCAAGCAACTCTCATGCCTCCTAAGTAGCTGGGATTACAGGTGCACGCCACCACACCTAGTTATTTTGTGTATTAGTAGAAACAGGGTTTCACCATGTTGGCCAGGCTGGTCTCAAACTCCTGACCTCAGGTGACCTGCCCACCTTGGTCTCCCAAACTGCTGGGATTACAGGCATGAGCCACCACACCTGGCCAAGGAATTCTTATATTACAAAATCTTACCTCTTCAAAAACAGCAGCTTTATTTACTTTTTCCCTTGCAATGTCACAGATTTTCAAGATTCCCAGAGCAAAAGCCTTCATAGCAGGATCTTCTATAAAGTCTGGATTATGAATGTAAAGGCACGTAAATACTGTCTGTGCCAACGAATGGCCTTCTAACCATGTTATCTATAAAGAAACAAAAGAGTATATATTTAAGGTGATAAAATTGAGTCTGCAAAGTCTAAATTGATCCTAGAGTTAAAGGCCAGAGCACCATAGACCCAGATAAGATTAATCACAAGACTTAAAAAACAGACAAGTTAGAATTCCTTTCACTGACTAACATTTTTCAAGCATCTATGGGAATCACTGTCGTATGTAAATCAGTTTGCAACATATTAGAGATTAATGAAATTCAGACTGCCTCTTTATGTAGCATCCAAAAGAAATCAGGTCCACAATGTAGTCAATAAAAAAATCCATAAACTGGAAAATCCACAATTGTAGAACTAACCAGATCCTTAGACACTCATCGAACTTTATAATCCTTACCATCACAACCCAGCCAGCACCACATCGCACCTAGATTATCGGAAGAAACTAGAAACTAGACAGGTTTTCCCGCCTCCCATCTCTAATTTAATACCCCCAAGTAGAGATCTTCCTAAAACACTAAGAGAATCACTTTACACTATTTTACTGAGTGACCACTATATGTCTGGCACCATGTACTAGAGGTTGGGAATACCAACAACAGGCAAAATTGGGTAAGTACTGTGTCCCAAATATTATGCTAGGTTATTTTCAAATCTCTCTCATTTTTTCCTAGCACTTTGAGAAAGGTGGTATTTTTCTCCTTTTACATGTAAAGAAACAGAATAAGAGTTTAAATCATTTGCCCAAGTTTATAGTTATTTTTACACTAAAGCCCAAGAATTCTGCAACAGAGTAAGACATATGCTACTGCATTGCAAAATGACAAATGTTTGTGGAAAACTTGTAATTAAGGTGTGTATTTGGTATTAACTACTGTGCAGAAGAGAGACTTTCCAGACTAAAAACCATCTGCCTTTTAAAGTCCAAATTTTTAAATACAGTCCCAAGAGTCTCACAGAATAGTTCAACTTTGGCAAAAATCCTCCCTCTGTTTACCTTTCCCTCCTTCTCCACCACTCTCCACTTATCCCACACTCCTCCTACTTGGCTCCCTGCCAGACTTCAGCCTTAAGCAGCTATCTATGATTTTCCAAAATGAACATTTTCACATTGCCATGCCCATGCAATATACCTCTTTGCCTACTAAACCATGAATCTTCCTGTCATACACCTACCATTCTTTTGTACCTCATACCAATATTACTTCCTTTCTACAGCCTTTCTTACTCTCCCAGACATAATTAACTCCTCCTCTCTGTTCCCACAGCACCATTACACAAGCATTTTCATGTTGTCAGAATTGTTTATTCACATGTCTGTTCCCAGCAATCCTTTGACTCTTTTCTTTACTCCACCCACTAGGACTGTAAACTGCTAAAAGGTAATAAAGAAATCTTTGAGGGGGTAAAGAGACAGCTTTGGAAGATGAAGGATCAGGATTAAGATTCTGGCAAGGGCCCTCCCAAGCAACATACCCATAGACAGTAAGATAGTACGGATACCTAATAAAGCTCATGTAAAACGTAAGTGAAAACTGTACATATAAAACACCTAATACAACCACACACACTGGCAATCAATCAATAAACGCTGAATGAACAAATGAATAAATTTTACGTATTTCTAAGGACAATGATTTAATGTCAATTTAAAAGAAAGGGATGGTCAGAAAGCAGGGGGGAGAGGAAAGCAGTACAAATGAGAATTTCTCCACACACAATACTTTCCAGGGAAAACATAATTCAGCATATACAAATCACTAAAAAATTTTCTTCTCAGGAGATGGCCAGTTTACCACAATTTATCCTAGATTAGAAAAAATCTCTCCAAAGCCATTGTCTAGCTCTCTTTTGTTTTGATTCCACGCTTATTTATGAAACCTTCCAATTACAGACTTATTGCTTGAGTAACTGGAGAACGAAAAGGGTATTATGAACAATGGCTACAATACTATCTTCACTGAAAAGAAAATATCCCTTCACCCAGAAAATTAAAATGTAAAATCAAGTAGATGACAAGATGAAATCCTATTACCAGGCCTGCCAATCTTATGCACATCTTTACTAGGCCAAGTATTACATTTATTTCATACTCAACATTAGTGTATAGGCTTTTAAATCACAAGATTCAGGTAAATCACAGTTTTTAAATTAACTAATAGTCTTAATTCCATTCTTACCAAACAGCAAAAACATGTATCCATAATCCCTATCAGTTCAGGCAAGGTGAGATCTTTAATTTTAATAGTGCCATCCTAAAAAGGAGGAAGAATGTGATATATAAGCAGAAATTTTTTTAAACATGGTTACTATATATAGTAGCATTCTGGATTTCTAACATTCAATATTTAAAAACAGCAATTCTAAGAAAATGCTATCTATCATCTGATAAAACTATCACACCAAATTAACTCTGTATTCTTAAAAACTATCGTCTTATAAATTTTATTTTTAACTGACATAATTGTAAAAACAATATATCTTAGGTCTTCAATAAGAAAAATCTAAACAATAAAGGCCTTTATATAAAATGAAAAGCCAAATCAACAAGTATTTTAAAAGCAGTTCAAACCAGCTTTAAGTATTAATATAAATCATTTTAATGACCCAAAACTACTTAGAAAGAAAACTAAAGATTTTTGAAACACTTCTCTTAAGTTAGTTAACTATATTACTTGCAAATTTTGTTTACAATATTCATTTGCTCAGCAAACCTTTCTTTATAAAATATGTAAAATCAAACTCTATTGCAAGTATAAATGAATTTCTAAAGCAACTTTAAATTCACTACCACAAGTATTTTACTTGTGCAAATTTACTTTTATGTATTAACATATTAATACACAAAATTTAACCCCCAAGCCAATTTTCCTATTTGAATATAGAGTCAAATGCTTTCAAAAATTAATTTTAAAAGTACACAAATGCACAAATTTAGAGCAAGATTTTAATGAAGACCTTAATTTTCAGATTTTAACATATAAAGGTTGTAACTAATTCTTGTTTATATACTTGAGCTGCTTTGAAGGAAACAGACATTAATACAACGTTTCATTTCATTACTAAGCACAATGTTTTAACATAAAATAACAAAAGATAAAAGGAAACACAAAAGTACAATGGTGACTACCTTGATAGCTTGTTCAAAATTGAGAACTTTTCGATTAACTTGGTTTCCAATCATGCCAGCATCCATCTTGGGATCCATCATTTCAATAGCAGACATGGCTTCAAAAAGACCAAATCTGCAAATAAAAAAATTAAGTCCACAGATTGTTTTTGAGCCAGTAAGCTTATTCATATTTTCACAATGGTATAAAATTATACTACTTTTAATAACTATTCTATGTATTCAGTCTTCTCAACTTGCTAACACTTCTACTTCAATTAACTGTCGATTGACACAAAAATTATTTCATGTACTTGCCACTCAAATGATTTTACATGCACTGTGAGGAAGAAAAAGATTTCTGCCGGGCGCGGTGGCTCACGCCTGTAATCCCAACACTTTGGGAGGCCGAGGCGGGTGGATCACCTGAGGTCGGGAGTTCAAACCAGCCTGACCAAAATGAAGAAACCCTGTTACAAAACAGCTGGGCATGGTGGCGCATGCCTGTAATCGCAGCTACTTGGGAGGTTCAGGCAGGAGAATCTCTTGAACCCGGGAGGCAGAGGTTGCGGTGGGCTGAGATCGCACCGCTGTACTCCAGCCTGGGCAACAAGAGCAAAACTCCATCTCAAAACAAAACAAAACAAAACAACAACAAAAAAAGAAATATTTAAGATTTCTGTGGTCTCACACTAGACCTAATAAAGAATTCTCGGGGTGGGGCCCAGCAATCTATGCTTTAGTAAGCCCTCCAGATGATTCTGTCGCACGCTCAAATCTGAGAAGAACTGAATTTCAGATTCTACTTTCCCTCCCCACAACCACAATGTCCAATCTTGTCTACTTACTAATTAATAAAAGTTTCACATTCCTAACCCTGAAAATTGAGCCTGGCCATGGCAGTATAGGAACTGGGGCTATATATAGGCATATAAACATGAACAAGTATTTCCATTTATTTTGTTTTTCCAAGGTGCTATGGTTTGAATGTGGTTTGCCTCCACCAAAATTCATGTTAAAACTTGATCCCTAATGTGGCAGTGTTGGGAGGTGAGGCCTAGTGGGAAGTGTCTTGGGCATGGGGGAGAATCCCCATGAAAAGATTAAAGCACTCCCAGGGAGGTGAGTTCTTGCTCTCCCAGGAATGAATTACAGTTGACCCTTTCACAACATGTGTTTGGATTGCATGAGTCCACTTAGACAAAGGTTTTCTTGCACCTGTGCCACCAGAGACTGCAAGACTAACTTCCTCTTCCTTCCTCAGTCTGCTCAACACGAATATGACAAACATGAAAACCTTTATGATGATCCACTTAATGAACAGTAAGTATATTTTCTCTTCCTTATAATTTTCTTCATAACATTTTCTTTTCCCTAGTTTATTGTAAGAATACAGTATATGGCACATATGACACACAAAATATGTGTTAATCAACTGTTTATTTTATTGGTAAGACTTCCAGTCAATGACAGGCTACCAGTAGTTAAGATTTTGGCGGAGTCAAAGGTTTTATGTGGATTTTTTACTGTAAGGGGGTGGGTCGGCACCCCAATCCCCAAGTTGTTCAAGGGTCAACAATACCATCCAAGAGGGTGGGTTGTTTTAAAGACTCTGACTTCCTCGGTTTCTCTTTCTTGCATCCTCCCCTGCCATGTGATCTCCTCGCACCACATGCCACTCCCCGCTGCTCCCCTTCTGCTTTCCACCATGAGTTGAAGCAGCCTAAAGCTCTCACTAGATGCAGTTGCCCAATCTTGAACCTTCCAGTCATCAAATAAACCTCTTTATAAACTCCCCAGTCTCAGGTATTCAGCTACAGCAACACTAAACTGACTAAGACACAGGGATTCTCATTTACTTTTATCTAGGCACTTAGTCACCCAATTTCTGGTTATCAACCAACCTGTCACATATGACATACAATTGATACCTTTTCTTCAAGAAATTCCACATTCATTACATCTGCTCTCCAGGAAAGGACCATAAGTTACAGTTTCCCTAGGTATAACCATTTCACATCACAACTAGGGTCAGCTGCCCCAAAATAGCTCATCACAGTTAAAAATATATTTATAATTAGTTTTATTTTCATAATTTTGAAATGTAAATTTACTCAAACTTCAGGGAATATTACTCCACATGAGAAAAAAAAAAAGACTGAAATATTACACTACACCATTTTCAAAGAATACTTACAGTTTATCATGAAGTAGTTCTCCCAATTTTAATTCTAAAAAAAAAAAAAAGAAAAATCCTTTTAATTCTAAGAAAAAAAAGACATTAGCACCTGAAAAAAATGTGCTTGTATTACTTTAAAATTCATTTTCTAAGAAATACTTACTTCTACTCCATTACTAATATAATGCATTCTATGTTGCGGGAAGTCAGGGACCCTGAATGGAGGGACCAGCTGAAGCCATGCAGAAGAACATAAATTGTGAAGATTTCATGCACATTCATTAAGTTCCCCAAATTAATACTTTTATAATTTCTTATGCCTGTCTTTACTGCAATCTCTGAACATAAACTGTGAAGATTTCATGGACATTTACCACTTTCCCAACAATACTCTTGTGATTTCCTATGCCTGCCTTGTCTTTAGTCTCTTAATCCCGTCATCTTTGTAAGGTGAGGATGAATGTCGCCTCAGGACCCTGTGATGATTGTGTTAACTGCACAAATTGTTTAAACAATATGAAATCTGGGCACCCTGAAAAAAGAACAGGATAACAGCGATGCTGAGGGAACAAGGGAGATAACCATTAGGTCTGGCTGCCTGAGAGCCGGGCAGAACAGAGCCATATTTCTCTTCTTTCAAAAGCAAACAGGAGAAATTCTTTTTCTCTGAATTCTTTTTCTCAGCAAGGAACAGCCCTGAGAAAGAGAATGTGTGCCTTGGGGGAAGTCTCTAAAATGGCTGCTCTAGGGTCATCTGTCTTTTACAGTTGTAGATAAGGGATGAAGTAAGTCCCAGTCTCCCATAGTGCTCCCAGGCTTATCAGGACGAGGAAATTCCCACCTAATAAATTTTGGTCAGACCTCGTCTGCTCTCAAATGCTGTCTCCTGATA